TGCAGTGCTGATGCATTTTGAAGAAAAAGGCTTATATTTATGCCTTGTGAATTAAAATATATTTTAGAAAATACATGAAATAGCTGTGTTACATGTATAACAATGATATATATATGAACCTGTGAAAATACATCTATGGTTTTTGGAATACACACCTCCTGCATCATTTCTTAAATGTCTAGACTTTTTATTCAGGGTTGTTTGGGGTGTATACACATTTATTTGTTTTTTTTCTAAGAGGTGGAGAGATTCCATTAGTCTATGCCTGCACCTCAGTGGCGTTCATATAGGGGTCACAACTGCGACTGGGCCCATCAATCCAGGGGCCTGGCCGCCCTGTGGACCCCTGCGACCTGGTACCAGCCGGCATGTTTTGTGGCCCCCGGCCCGCACGGCAAACAACCAGGGCCTATCGTTCAAGAGGCCCATCGGGTGGGCCACCCGATGGGTATGGATTTCCAGGGGGCCAGGTCGCTCTGTTAAAGTGCCACAACGCTCACTAATTAAGTGAGTCACATAATGTGAAAATTCTTAAGCCTTTGTTTTAGCTTGTACCAATAAACTTCTTATTGGAAACGGAATAACAAATTACTAAATTCTTTGGAATAATTTAAGTGATGAGATCACTGCTGGGAGGAAGTGTCTGCTCTTTACAGGGAGTGCAGAATTATTAGGCAAGTTGTATTTTTGAGGATTAATTTTATTATTGAACAACAACCATGTTCTCAATGAACCCAAAAAACTCATTAATATCAAAGCTGAATATTTTTGGAAGTAGTTTTTAGTTTGTTTTTAGTTTTAGCTATGTTAGGGGGATATCTGTGTGTGCAGGTGACTATTACTGTGCATAATTATTAGGCAACTTAACAAAAAACAAATATATACCCATTTCAATTATTTATTATTACCAGTGAAACCAATATAACATCTCAACATTCACAAATATACATTTCTGACATTCAAAAACAAAACAAAAACAAATCAGTGACCAATATAGCCACCTTTCTTTGCAAGGACACTCAAAAGCCTGCCATCCATGGATTCTGTCAGTGTTTTGATCTGTTCACCATCAACATTGTGTGCAGCAGCAACCACAGCCTCCCAGACACTGTTCAGAGAGGTGTACTGTTTTCCCTCCTTGTAAATCTCACATTTGATGATGGACCACAGGTTCTCAATGGGGTTCAGATCAGGTGAACAAGGAGGCCATGTCATTAGATTTTCTTCTTTTATACCCTTTCTTGCCAGCCACGCTGTGGAGTACTTGGACGCGTGTGATGGAGCATTGTCCTGCATGAAAATCATGTTTTTCTTGAAGGATGCAGACTTCTTCCTGTACCACTGCTTGAAGAAGGTGTCTTCCAGGAACTGGCAGTAGGACTGGGAGTTGAGCTTGACTCCATCCTCAACCCGAAAAGGCCCCACAAGCTCATCTTTGATGATACCAGCCCAAACCAGTACTCCACCTCCACCTTGCTGGCGTCTGAGTCGGACTGGAGCTCTCTGCCCTTTACCAATCCAGCCACGGGCCCATCCATCTGGCCCATCAAGACTCACTCTCATTTCATCAGTCCATAAAACCTTAGAAAAATCAGTCTTGAGATATTTCTTGGCCCAGTCTTGACGTTTCAGCTTGTGTGTCTTGTTCAGTGGTGGTCGTCTTTCAGCCTTTCTTACCTTGGCCATGTCTCTGAGTATTGCACACCTTGTGCTTTTGGGCACTCCAGTGATGTTGCAGCTCTGAAATATGGCCAAACTGGTGGCAAGTGGCATCGTGGCAGCTGCACGCTTGACTTTTCTCAGTTCATGGGCAGTTATTTTGCGCCTTGGTTTTTCCACACGCTTCTTGCGACCCTGTTGACTATTTTGAATGAAACGCTTGATTGTTCGATGATCATGCTTCAGAAGCTTTGCAATTTTAAGAGTGCTGCATCCCTCTGCAAGATATCTCACTATTTTTGACTTTTCTGAGCCTGTCAAGTCCTTCTTTTGACCCATTTTGCCAAAGGAAAGGAAGTTGCCTAATAATTATGCACACCTGATATAGGGTGTTGATGTCATTAGACCACACCCCTTCTCATTACAGAGATGCACATCACCTAATATGCTTAATTGGTAGTAGGCTTTCGAACCTATACAGCTTGGAGTAAGACAACATGCATAAAGAGGATGATGTGGTCAAAATACTCATTTGCCTAATAATTCTGCACTCCCTGTATACTGCACCTCCTTATACTGTTTAACCCAAGATTTTAAAACATCAGATTGTAATCTAACTGTAAGTTTGTTTTGGCAGGGCCCTCTTCATCTACTGTTTCTATATATTTTGTTAGAATTTACTTTTTTGCCTTGTTTACCTGTTGTGTAGTGTTGCAGAATAAGTGAGCTCTTTTTGCAATTGCAATTCTAAAACATTTGTGCATGTATGCAATGACCTAAGTATGTTGAGAAGTGCATAAGGAATTACATATTTTCAGAAACATGGTAACGTGGCTGAAGAATTAAATAATTTTGGCTATTTTGAACTAATTATTGCTTTTTTAACATCACAGTAAATTATGAAGTAGGCTCAATTGTTTTGTGGGATACACAAACAATGTACTGTGTCTGTTCTTACAATGAATTCTTTATTTGTATACATCTAGCGTTACTTATCGGGGATCTCTGTTCAAAATGCAAATAAAAGAAAGCTGCCCGCATACAGAGAGGATTAATAAAGGGGCAACAGGGTCCTTATATCACTTCCAGCTCAAATTGGGCCAAGTCAGTCTGGCACCCCTATTTATGCACATTTTGGATCCACAGGCATGATGTAGACCAGTTATAACACATATAGGAGTATTTAAGTTTATCTGGCCCTATTTGCTGTGTTCTGTCATGGTTTCTGTTCCCAGTACCCTTTAGTGCATTGCTTGATACATAGTGTTATTTCTGATTTTAATCTTGGCTTTGTTTTGACCCTGAGTTTCTCTGTAACCTTTACCTGTCCTGTTTACCTGTTTGATTGATATGCCATGTACCTGACTTCATCTAGTTCTCAGTTTCACTGTCTCTCTGTTATCATGCAGCTTGTATTTGACCATGCTTCCTCTATCTATAACGTTAAGTTCGGGTAGTCTAAGACCCGGTAAAACATTTCTTCTAGTCCAATTTATCACTGCTGAATCAGACTCTGCTTTGGCTTAGATCTCGTGACAATATAAAGCACAGTGACACATTATTAATATATATAACAAATGATCCCTATATCTTTGTATTGATGCGTCTGTCACTTCTTTGGTGTCACTTTACCAGAACCAGTTATGCCATTGCCACTCAATAATTATTACCAACATTCTTTGGAAGCACTGGATTGCCCGTGGAGTGGCTTGATGAAGGGCCTCCTGCCATGAGACTATGGTCCTGTTATTGTTGTCTTAGATTTGATTAACTAGTCCAGAGCCAGAGGACAGGTTACAGAGTTGTTTTGAATATTTTTATTGTATGCATAACATAGGTTCATACGTCAAACTGATTTGTAATAAAGCAAGTGATTGCCCACGCAGGGGCTTAAGCATTGGTTCAACACAGTATATACTTTTGGTTGCCTGCGCAGAGGCGGATCCGTCTTAGCCTGTTTAGCTTAACATGTTTTTAAACAAAAAAAAATTCTTGGTTTCCTTCTCTTCTCTTTTCTTTTCCTTTTTCCTTTCCTTTTCTTTTTCTCTTTCCCTCTCTTCTTTTCCCCTTCTTCCTTCCCTTTAAAATTTTTTTTTTTTTTTTTAATATTATTATTATTAACATTTATTTACTGTCAGTTGCTTTGTGCTCTATACTTTTATGTACTGTGTAGCCTTTGTAGTTCGGTTAGGGCGATATGTGTTTTGCGTTAGCTGTTGTGTGTTTACTGGTCAGTAGGTGCACAATTGTTGACTGTGCTGAGGCAGGTTAATCTGCTTGCTCGTTAGATGAGGTCATTAGGCCATAATCAAAAATACAGAAGTTTTTCCAACTTTAAACATAAGGAGCATATTTGTTTTTAGGCAGCCGTGTATTAATATAAAATATGTGAGTTTGGGCCTCATCATGTAGATGTTGTGCTCGGCAGGTCCCTGTGTGTTTTGTGTCTGTTAGGGGTTTTCGGCTTTCTGTTGTGTCTGTTAGGGTCTGCATGTATTATTGAGTGTGTTGATCTTCTCCTTTATCGTAATGCATTTGCAGGTAACAACAGTGCGAGTATGGAGGTATTGGTTTCCCCTACAGACATTTGTGTGCTTTTTGTCGCCTACGCAGAGGCGGTTTGGTTATTGCCTGCTTGATATAGTATATAGGTATCAATTTGTTTGCTTGCTGTGTTTGTCTGCATGACTTATGGTGTGCCTGTGTTGCGTTCACTCGGGCTTGTCTTGTTCTGGGTGTTTTTATCGCGTGTTTCCTGTGTAGGTTGTGTCTGCGGGCCCCGTCGTGTCTGGTCCCTGGTTGCTCTGGTCATGTGCTAGTTGTATCTCGCTTTTCTGCTGGCGGTGTTTGGTCTATTGACTTCCTGTTTGCGTCCTCTTTGTGGGGCTTTTATCTGATAGTGTGTCATATCTTACTATATTTTGGTGCGTGTGGCTGCTGTCTGCTTGCGTGTCTGCGTGTCTATTGCGCTGTGTGATTTAGTGTTTCATTGCCGTGCGTGACTGGCCCCATGTAGCTTTTGTCTGTGTAGTCAGTGTAGTATTCTGTTTAGCGTGCTGAGGTGCGTTTATGGGTAATCCAGTACATTGCGATGGTTCGTGTGTTTTAACTGTGGTATGTCTCTCTATCTTATTGCGTTGTAGCTTGCCTGGAGATCCGTGTTTCAGTGAGTACCCATCGATTTTGTTCGGAGTATGATTATTGGTTTGACAGCGAGGTTCTTTGGGTATATGTGGTTGTGTTTGGGTTAGTGTTTGTCTTCGTGTGTACTTGGCTTGCCGTGTATGAGGGGGGGGGAGGTTCGGTTGTTACTGTCCTGACTGTCTTTGTTCCCGATTTTGTCATTGTGGGTGTTCATGTGTATGAATCATGGTTGTTATCCTGTCTGTGCGTAAAGTGTTCGTCTCAGGTAGCGTCAGTCGGTGACTTAATGTGGTGCTGTCAGGGTGCGGGTTAGGGTGGGATGGTTGGGGTAGTCCGCCTCCCGTGCCCGTCCGGTCCGCCGCATCTCGCCTTCTTTGATTCGCTTCTCTTAGTGCTTTCTTCCTCGTCTTCCCGTCGACTTTCATGCCGCGTTTATGTGCTGTCTGAATGAGTCTGACGTATTCAGTCTCGTCCAGTGGAACCAGCGTTTGGTGTGGTGGTCTCTGAGGTTCGGAGTTTCTGCTTTCATGTCCTCGAATATCCTTGTGGCTTCCACCTCCTCTATCCATTTTGTTATGGATGGTGTGATGGTTTGCTTCCAGTAAATAGGGATAGTCACTTTAGCCGCGTTTAGGAGTCTGGGGATAACCGATCTCTTATATGTTGGTGTCGCCATAGTTGTGTGGTGTAGTAGGAAGGCGGCTGGGGAGTGTGGGAGGTGTTCATCTGTGACCTCCTGGATTATCGACCGGATTCTGTCCCAGAATGGTCTGATGCGGGCGCATGTCCACCATATGTGCGTGAACGTTCCGGTCTCCTCCCAACACCTCCAGCATGTATCCGGGATTTCTGGGTTTCTGGCGTGAAGAGCTGTCGGTGTCAGGTACCATCTGGTAAATATCTTATACGAGTTTTCTTGTGTTCGTGCCGAGCTCGGTGTTTTCTGTATCAGGGTCATGCTTTTATCCCAATCTGCTTCCGTCATCTGCTCCTCCAAGTCTTCTTCCCATTTTCTGATGCACGGTGGTGCTAGGAGGTATCTGCTTGTTATCAGGATAGTGTATATTTGTGAGATGGCTCGTGGTGGTTCTTTGTCCTGTGTGCAGAAGTTCTCGAATTGTGTTGGTTCCCTCGTGATTGCCGGTCGTTGCGGGATGGATCTGGCGTATTTGGTGATTTGGGCTCGTGCTAGGATGTGGGCAAATGTGTGTGGTCTGCCTGGGTAGATGTCTGCCAATGGTCGGATTTCGAACGGGTGGCAGAGGAAATCTTTTATGCGGGGTACCCCTGTCTGTCCCGGCGGACTTGGTGTGGGGCCATATTCCCCGGCTGGGAAATCTGGGTTTCCCTTTAGGGGCAGGAGCGGGCTTGGGTCCGTTGTCAGGTAGTGTTTTGTGCCTTGTCCGTGCCATATTTGCATGGTTGCCACCACGAACGGGTTGGTGATATGTTTGCTCCCGTATGTTGTCTTGGGGATCCATGGTAGGGTTCTGAGATCGCATCCGGTTGTGTCCGCTTCTAGTTGTGTCCATGGTTTTGCGCCGCTGGCTACCGACCAGCAGATTATTCTGGCGATGTGTGCTGCGTGGTAGTACTTTTCAAAATCGGGAAGTGCCAGGCCCCCCCTGAGCTTGGGCAGGATCAGTTGGGTATGCGCTATACGCGGGGATTTGCCCTTCCAGATAAAAGTGCGAACTTCTGCCTTAAGTGTCGCGAAGAATGTTTGTGGGGCTCTTATCGGTACCGTTTGGAATATGAAAAGTAGCTTCGGTAATAGTGTCATTTTCACCGCGTTCACTCTGCCCAGCCATGACATGTAGTAGGAACCCCATCTACGTAGTTCCTCCTTTGCCTTTTGCAGAATCGGGAGGTAGTTATGGGTGTAGAGGTCTCCCGCATCTGGTGTGAGCCAGACCCCTAGGTATTTCATTCGGCGGTCGCACCAGCGGTAGGGTTGTTGTCTCTGAATTGTTTGCTTGAGTGTGTTGCTGATGTTTATGTTCAGTATTTCCGATTTCGAGTAGTTGATTCGGAGGTTCGAGATGCGGCCGTATATGTCGAATTCCGTCTGTATCGCTCGTAACGATTTTTCCGGGTCAGTAACCACGAACAGCATGTCGTCTGCGTACGCCAGGGTTTTGTGGTGCGTGTTTCCGACTGTCAGCCCTCGTACGTCTGCGTTCTGTCGGATCCTGCTCAGGAAGGGTTCCAGCGTCAGCGCAAAGAGTATGGGTGAAAGCGGGCAGCCCTGTCTGGTTCCGTTGTGGATCTGGAATGGGTCTGTCAGTGCCCCGTTGATCCGAATTCGGGCCGTTGGGTCCGTGTAGAGCGCCTGTACCCAGGTCATGTAGTGTGGGCCTATGCCCAGGTGGCGGAGTGTTTCGAACATCAGACCCCAGTCCACCCTGTCGAACGCCTTCTCCGCGTCTGTGGACAGGAGCAGAACTGGGGTCTTCTGCCCTCTTGCATGTGCTATGAGGTTTAAGGCTCTGATTGTGTTGTCCTTCACCTCCCTTCCTGGGATAAAACCTGTTTGATCTGAATGGATTATGGTCGGCAGGAGTGGCGCCAGACGTGCTGCCAGTATGCTTGCCAGAAGTTTGAGGTCCGTATTCAGTACGGATATCGGTCGATAGCTTGGACACAGCGTCTTGTCTTTGTCCTCCTTTGGGAGGAGGGTGATGTTCGCCGAGGTGAATTGGGCTGTTGGTGTGGCTCCGTCTTGGATCGAGTTTAGGGCTTTCAGTAATTTTGGTAGTAGGTCCGTTGCGAATGTTTTATAGTATTGTAGGGGCAGGCCGTCTGGGCCTGGAGCCCTGCCCGTTTTCGCTTTTTTGATGGCGTATGCCAATTCCTCGGGTGTTATGGGGGTCTCTAAGGCTTCTTGGTCTACCTCCTCTATTCCTGGTATATTTGCCGCGTCTAGGTATCTGCGTATGTCCTCAGCTCTTTGTGGCCTCTGAGGTTCTTGATTCGTGTCACGGAGACAATATAGATCCTGGTAGTAGTCGTGGAACGCTGTCGAGATCTGGTCCGGCAGGTGTCTGAGTTGTTGGTGTGCATCTTTGATCTTTGGAATGTACAGTTGGTTGCGGCGTTGCCTCAGGAGGTTCGCTAGTAGTCTCCCACACTTGTCCCCGTGTTCATGGATCATATGTTTGTAGTGTTGGTATGAGCGTTGGATTGCGCGGTTCAGGTGTGCGGTGAGTTGGTTCCGTTTAGTCGTGAGTTCCTCATATACCGTCAAATCCATGGTGCGTTTGTGTCTAGCCTCCAGTTCCCCGATTTCCTTACTGAGTGCTCGTATCGTCTGTGTCGCCTTCTTTTTGCGGGTCGCGCATATCGCGATGAATCCGCCTCTGATGACCGTTTTGTGTGCTTCCCAGCATGTCAGTGGGGTGACGTCATCTGTCTCGTTGTCTGTGAAGTAATCCTGTATGTGGTGATTGACTTGGTCTATGACCGAGACGTCTGAGAGAATCGATTCGTTCAGTCGCCACGACATTTGTCTGGGTTTGTATAGTGGCGACTTAATCCGTATGCGGATTGGGCTGTGGTCTGACCAGGTCATTGGCAGGATTTCTGCCGCGGTGAGCAGGGCTAGGTCCCGGTGAGGTACTAGGAAATAGTCGAGTCTTGTATACGTCGAGTGTGTCGTAGAATAAAAAGTATAATCTCGTGTAGTTGGGTGTAGTGCTCGCCAGCAGTCTGCCAGCTGGTGGAGGTGGAGGAGGCGGAGCGTGTTGGCGTGCCTGTTGATCAACCTGTGTCCGTGTGCCGAGGTGGAGTCTTGGTCCGGGTGTATCGCCAGGTTGAGGTCCCCCCCTATGATCAGGGTGCCTTCCGCGAATTTCATCAGCGTGGTTAGTGCTCTTCGGAGGAAGTGGTGTTGTTTCGTATTCGGGGCGTATATGTTGGCGAACGTGTATGTTTGGTCCATTATTTTGCCTTTTGTAAAAATATATCTGCCCTGTTTGCATCGGACGGTGGCTTGCTCCTCGTAAGGGACTCGTCGTGAGAAGAGGATGCAGACTCCCAGTGTGCGTCTATCTTGGTTGTGGCTGAAGTATCCTATTGGGTAGTTGCGGTCTTTTAGGGCTGGTGCTCTGCCCTCCTGGAAGTGCGTTTCTTGGATGAACGCTATTGTTGCTTTGTAGTGTTTTAGGTCCCTTAGCAATCTTGTGCGCTTCTCCCTAACATTTAGGCCTCGCACATTGTAGGAGACTACACATAGGTCTTCTCTTGCGAAGCCGTTGGGTCCTTGTGCCTGCATCCTCGCAGCGGCCCGGAGGGGCAACGGAGGCGGGCTGGGTCTGGGTGTGGGTGTGTGTGTAGGTGTGCGGTTCAGTGCTGTCTTATTGTTGTTTGGGCTCTGGCTCCGTCTTAGTGGGCGCTTGCTGTTGGTTGTTTTGAGGGCGTGTAGTGTAATGGACAGGTGTCCCGGTTGTTCGGCCTATAGGTCCCACCAAGTGGTGTGCCTGTGTCGGTGCCGGGTGTAGTACGTCCCCTTTGGAGTGGGGATATTTGTGTCCTATGCCTATTGGGGTGTCGGGCTTTATGCCCTGGTGTGTCCGGTCCGCCTTGTGACGTCCGTCCGTGCTGTGTAGGTGAGGGGTGTGATACCTGGTTCGGTATGTAGGGTGTGGTCGCATGTCTCCTTAGTGGCTATGATATTGGAGCATCCGCTCCCTCTCTTCGGTATTGTGCTTGTATGGGTCATCTTTTGGGTTGCATGCGTGCTACTGTCTGCCGCAGTGGTGTGTCCTAGCTCGTGTATGTTTTTATCTCACATGTGATCTCGCTACGTGTGTTCCTATCTGGGCGCGTGTCCGTTGCAGTTCCTGGTCAGGGCCTCCCTATTATCCGGGCCTGTGAGTGGTGTCATTCTAGTGGGGTAACTTGGCTGGTGGCGCTATCTTTCTGCCTGTGTCCCACCGACTGTATGGGCGTGATGTGGGTGTGGGTCCAGCGTGTCTGGGTGTCAGTCCCTGTATTCTCCTATTTCCCGTGGTTCCAGCGTGGCTAGTTGTTTTAATTCCTACTCCATCTCAGGCTTCTGTTTGGTGTCACCTGTTGTGTCTGTGGGTTGCCTGACGACAACGTGTGTGTGGTGCACGTCGTATGTGGCATGTCGTCCCTGCGCTAGTGTGATGGGTGGGGTTTCCTTGGGCCTTTCTCATGTTGGGTTCCCGGTGGTTCATCTCGGGTGCTTTCCACTCTGCCTATGGTTCCTTTGGTGTCTATGCTTAGCGTGTATCTGTGGTTTGCTTGCTAGTAATTTTGTCGGGTATTGTGCCAATGGATTTTGCCCATGAATTATTATCGCAGGTCCCCTTCTGTCTACCCCTGGCTCCCAGTACCCTCCTATTGGCTTGGCCCACTCGTCTCTTTCTCGTTCGTCCCCCCCACCTCTGTGTCCGTGTTTGTGCGCTGTGCCCCTCTCTTTCCCTCCCCTCCCCGCATATGCATGAGTTGCGGTACCGTGTTTGGGTGCGTGTTTTTTTTTTTTTTCCCCCCTTCCCCCTGTGTGCGTGTGATCCCCCTTCCCTTCCTCCTCCCTTTCTTCCCTCTTTTCAGTGGACATTTCCCCTTATGACCCTCCCTCCGTTCGTTGTGTTGTGTCTTTGTTGGCGTCTTCCGGCCAGTATTGTGTCCCATGTTGTGACACCGCCACGTTGCACTATCTGTGCGCCTGTCTGGATTATGTCATGCCGGAGCTAGAGCTGGATCCCGTATCCCACCCAAAACGTCCTGTTTTGTCCTCCCCATGGCCCTGTAAGCGGGCAAGAAGGTTCCTCCGCATGAAGCTCTTGCCGTTGACAGTCCCTTCAGTGTTTACTTCGTTCCTGTTCCCCCTTGCCACCATCTCCCTCCCCATCGTGTGCCGGTGTGGTTGTTATAGTGTCTTGTGTCACCCCAAATAGTACTCACAGTTTGCCCTTAGTGTCCTGCTGCAAGTTGGTCTCCGGACTGTCAGCCCCTCCTCTCAGTGTGGTGCTCTGTTAGTTCTCCTGCTCCCGTCGTGCCGGGCCCGGGTTCCAATCTCTGCGTCGCTGTTGCTGAAGTCTTGGGGGGCCCTGGTCTGGTCTGCGCGGCTGTTGCGGTCCAGGCGGTGATTGGAGAAATGAGCTTGCTAGCCAGTCTTGTACGTGGATCGGTGGGATGCCCATGACTCGAAGGAAACCAGGGAGGTCGCCTGGTTTATTCACCGTATGTTGATCCTGGCCGTGTCTAGCTGAGAGTGAGAATGGGTAACCCCAGCGGTATGGTATTCCTGCCTGTTGCAGGGCGGATGTTACTGGGCGTAGCGCTCTTCTGGCTTGCAGAGTGTATCTAGATAGGTCTTGATAAATCGATATGGTTTGATTTTCGAAGCGTATGGTTCCCATGCGTCGGGCCGTGCGCAGGATGTCTTCTTTCAATTGGTAGTTTTCTAGGCAGCATATGATATCTCTTGGTTGTTCTTCTGGTGGCGGCATTGGTCGCAGCGCCCTGTGTGCCCGTACTATGCCTAGTCTGGGTATTTGCTGGCCCCCCAGTACCTGAGCGAACAGCCTCTTTAGGGTGTCGGGTATGTGTTCCGCTGGGTCACCTTCCCTCACTCCGCGGATGCGCAGGTTCAGCCTGCGGCCGCGGTTGTCCAGGTCGTCTACCCACGTGGTAAGACTGGCTAGGTCTGCTTCCTGGCTGGTGACTGTGGAGTTGGTGTGTTCCAGGTCTGTGCGGAGCGCTCTGGTCTCTGACTCCGCTACTGACATGCGGGCCTCCACGTTGGACAGGTCTGCGCGTAGCTGGGCCACCTCCTCCCTCACTACCCTGCCCAGGCAGTCTGACAGGGCCTCAAAATCTGCTTTAGTTAGTAAATTTGGCAGTATGGCCCTCCACTCTCCCTCCTGAGTTAATTGTGGCTCTGAGCTGAATGAGGGTGTGGGTGATAGTCTGGCCGGTGTGGAGGGGAAGGACTCCATGCCCTGGCTTACCTCCTCCGTCTCCCGTTGTGGGGATCGCGGGCGGGCCGTGGCTTGAAGGTAGGAGCGGATGGATTGCTCCCCCTCCCTGCCTGACGACCTCGGGGTGCTGCTGGAGTCCGTGGGCTTCCGTGTGCGACCCATGTTTTGTGCGTGGTCGAGCGGTATGCACTGTTATAGCCGGCTTATTGCGGGCGCCACGAGGAGCTTCTGCTTTAAGCGTCCATCTTCCTCGGCCGCCGGACCCAGGTTACAGAGTTGGACAAATCCTGATCCCAAGTTGCGGGACAACCCTTTTTTTCCCTTTTTGCTATTTAATGACTGCACAAAAGTAATAAAATAGACAAAGAATAAATTACAATGTATTCAATCATGAGCTATTCAGCCACTGCACAAATCTCTTATAATCCCCTTCCCATGCCATCAGTAATGTTCTTATACTTTCTCCATCGATTTCCCCAACAGGATTGGCAGATGACCTGTCCATTAGACCATCATTGTGTGCATTTATAAATTAAAGGGTTCAGTGTAGACTGAAAAGTGTTTCTTTTTTCACACACATGTATGTGATGTATTTAAAGGGACACTATAGTCACCAGAACAGCCACAGCTTATTGTATTTGTTCTGGTGAGTATAATCATTCCCTTCATGCTTTTTGCAGTAAACACAGTCTTTTCAGAGAAAATTTAATGTTTACATTACAGTCTAGGGATATCTCCACTGGCCACTCCTCAGATGACTACTAGAGTTGCTTCTTGGGGCAGTGCTGCGCAGCACTTCCATTAATTGTCTCCACCCTCTGCTTGGAGACACTGAACTTTCCTCATAGAGATTCTGTCAAGACTCCAATGAGACCCAACACGCAGGATGTAATAGAAAAACATGTACCAGACCTTAGAGTGGCCGGACTCTATGATAGACAGCTAGAGAATAGTCAAGAACAAGCCAAGGTCTAGGGAGCCAGAAATCACGAAAACGAGGTATATAAGCCAGGTCAGGAAACCAGATATTAGGATAGTCGAGGTACGTGAGCCAAGTCAATATAGGAGAATGGAGAATAGTCAGTATAGCCAAAGTCAAAATTACCAAATAGAACACTATTAGGAACTAACAAAAGAACCACAGGCAAAGGCAAAGTCCTATGTATGAACCAGCCTTTTATAGGATGGCTTTTTAAATTGGAAGCCACGCCCCCAAAACATCAAGTTTTGGCAGGCCGTGACGTCGGCATGCACGCAATGTGATGATGTGTCATAAAAGAGGGCGGAGCTACAGCAGCCGGCGTTGGAACTTCTGGAGATTTCAATTAGGGGGGTGCCAAGGTTTAGTCATGCCTAGGGCAGCACAAAACCAAAATGCACCACTGTGTATAACACAGCTTGCAAAATATAGAATAATGCCTTTTATGTCTTTAGACAATGGTGATAAAACCAAGGAATGGAGGGTAAACAAATTAGATGAAATCACCTAGTGATGTGTGAATTATTTGCTGTTTCCAATATGAGATTATATGACCTTGTATTATTTTATAATGCAGATGCTTATGAAAACTGTATATCTGTACTTCAGAGAAGCATATCTTATTATAGGAGAATTAACATCATACACATATGTCTTCAGAAGTAGACAGTTTGATATAAGCACAATCTATTTTAGATGTTTATTGATGTTTGTGCCATGGAGATAATTAATCACAATCACTCATATTTACTACCTTAAAGGACCACTATAGGCACCCAGACCACTTCAGCTTAATGAGGTGGTCTGGGTGCCTGGTCCATCTAGGGTTAACCCTTTTTTCTATAAACATAGCAATTTCAGAGAAACTGCTATGTTTATGTTAGGGTTAATCCAGCCTCTAGTGGCTGTCTCATTGATAGCCGCTAGAGGACTTCCGCGCTTCTCACTGTGAAAATCACAGTGAGAAGACGCCAGCGTCCATAGGAAAGCATTGAGAAGGCTTTCCTATGGACTGGCTGAATGCGCGCGCAACTCCTGCCGCGCATGCACATTCAGCCGAAGAGGAGGAGAAGATGGAGGAGAGGAGGCGGAGAGCTCCCCGCCCGGCACTGGAGAAAGAGGTACGTTTAACCCCTTCCTCTCCATCCAGCCCGGCGGGAGGGGGACCCTCAGGGCACTATAGTGCCAGGAAAACAAGTATGTTTTCCTGGGACTATAGTGGTCCTTTAAGGAGTTTAAAATAGATTAAATTTACAGAATTCTACTGGAACTGTAAATGTTTTTGTGTAATAGTTCGTTTTGATCAATAATTTAACAAAATGCATTTGGTGGACAAACAAAACCTCTGAATGGTTTTACTCACATTTCTTCAGTGCTGAGGCTCTCTCTGCATTGTTCACCTCTCCGCCTCCTGCAATGTCATGGAGGTAACATGGCATCTTCCAGTGTGGTGCAATCCAATGCTTCTCATAGAGAAGGATCTGATTCACTTAATTTTTTTCTATGTGACCTAGTTTTGCTTGGTCAGTGCAGGGGAAGCACGTCTAGTGGCTCTAATTATGACAGCCACTAGAGTTGGATTGAACCCTGCAAGGTAAACATTGCAGGTTAATTTAAGATGACACTCAGGCCCTATTCATCTGTATGTGGGTGATAATTATTGAGTGGCAATGGCATAGGTGGCTCTGGCATAGTGTCACCAAAGAGAACTCACTAGGAGTTT